TCTGTGCTTCAGCCCCCGCTGAGCCAGATTGCTAGCAGGACCAGGACCCATTCGGGTATCCATCCCTGTTACAGTGAATATTTGCAACTGCATCTTGTTTCCCTGTGACTATTTGCATTTGGGTTGCTAAAGATTCCATAACTCGTTCCTGGAGGATTAGGAACACCGGGACGCAAGGGTTGTTGCTTTGGCATTTGCTTTGTCTCAGCTGCTAACCTTGATGATGAGGTATTAACATGCAATGGTGGTTGCCTTTCTCGTGGAAGCCGGGTTTCTGATTGGACTGATTCCATCATCTTATTTGGAGGGGGGAATGGACTCCTTGGTTCATTTCTTTTATATCTATTCTCAGTCCCTCTAGGATGCTCTGGATGGAAGGGAGGGATTGTGTCTGCCCTACTAGAATCAAACATTGGCTTCTGGTGCTTAAGGTCCAAAGCACCATTTCCAGGGGAGGGAAATTTTTCTAGCATAGAAGGTTTAATTCCATTGGTAGAAGTTGAAGCAGGCCCATTTTTCTCATCACTTAAACTGAAGACTTCATTAAAATCACAACTAGAATCCAAAACGGACCAAGCAACCTTCTTCTCTTCAATATGTTTATCCTGCATTCGCATTGGAAAAGATAGAGGGCTATCATCCTCATTGAAAAGGCCTCCTTCCTCATCCTCCAAACCAGATTCTGCAGAATCTTCTTCGGGAAGTTCAGGGCAAGAATCAACTATTGGTTGTGCAGTGGAATTTTGAACCTGGCCTACTGTATCCCCAACAAGCTTCAATTTTTTTCCACCGCCTTTCTTTGACAGGCCAAATTTAGTGTGCCTGACAACAACATAAGCCTGTTTTCTTTCCACAATTGGCCCACTTTCCACAACAGCTACATCCTCAATCTGCAGAAAGATATTTATAAAAGAAATTCTGAAACAGATAAACAAAATACTAGAAAGAACTGACAATTACACCAGTAACCCAGAACATTAGAAGTTAAGGTGATACCAAAGAGGTTAGACGAGACAACAATCCTCCCAGGTCTTCATCTTCACCTTCTTTGCCTGTACCTACAGCCATGCACTGTTTCATAACCACAGAAAATTAAGTGATTGAAGGTTATCATTTAAAAGCAGGTTAACTTTATTATCAAAATAAGGATGCAGAGCAGATTCACTGCATAATGCATCAAGCAAAAGAGCTACTTATTTCATATATACTGCAAATATTTGGACCTGTTGTATGGTTATGCCTTTATTTTGCCACATAATGCAGTATAACCTAATTATTCATGTTAAAAATGTGAATTATTGCATCAAACAGTAATAAGAGCGGATTTCCCTATCCACTTAAAGAAGAAAGTCGTTAAAGGACCTCTAGATACAATACGGCAAATTGATCATAACGTAGCTATCCAATTGCAAGCTTCAAAACTACTAGCTTCTTTGCACCACATTTTGAATTCATCACATCCTTAAATCTGAGCTAAGAAAATTGACCCAAAAACAGCAAGAACACATTATAAGCAATCAATGAAAAGAAATCCTTGGAAAAAAAAAGGAAGAAAACTTTACCTTCACCCTATACCGCCGTTCCATTAATCTTATGACCGTATCTGCCTTCATCTTCAGGTCCTTTTGTTCCTGAACAGGTAGAACAAAGCATATTCTCATCTTTTCCTTTTATCTGTCATACAGCAATCATTCACTAATACTTGAAATATTATATGCATGTACATCTAGAGGAGAACAATCAGATCAGCGCAAAAACGAATGAAGTAGATCAGAAAAAGGGCAATGAGGAATCCATTACAGGGCCAGGTCTAACAAATATTTGGATAATATGTAATCCCTATATTGAACAGATGTACTGGACTTATATAAACTAATCTTCAAACTTGTCTAATATTTTCATGGTACATGTCATATGAGTGGCATAATAGGCTTACATCTGACCCACCCACACTAGCAAACTAATGGATACTTGGTTTTTTTTAACGATTCTATATAATTAACAAGTGCAGAGAAGTTTAGTCAGCTAAAACACCAGTTGAACTTCAGTTTAAAGGAATGAAATAAGCAAAGAAGATTCATGTTCACTTCAAAGGAATGAAATAAGCAAAGAAGATTCATGTTCACTTCCTCGAATAAAATTCACAATCCATGCTGCCATTACTAATTGTTCAAATCTTGAAACAACCTGAACTTTCATCACCACCAAACACAATCTTATGTGATTGCAAATTGTTCCAGTCTTTATAGATTAACAATGAAAAGAAAAACCCAAAAGAATTCTTAAAGAAATAACTTACTATTTTCCTTGAAATCCTAACTTCTTTGCAGCCTCCTTTTCGCAAAGTCTCCTCAGACTGCATAAATGAAAATCTGATCACATTCTGAAAGAAAAAGAACCCAAAAGGACGAAAACAACTAGCAAGTTCTAAAAGACTACTACAGCTCCTTAGTAATTTAATAATATTTTATCCACGGATTATTAAAATGAAAAACAAACTTCTGAAGTCCACAACTAACCACCAGCATCCACCAAATGGAAGGGTTATCAGTGATTCAACTTCAACATTACCGTCTACCATGCAAAAATAATAACAATGATAATGCCAATATGGGCAGTGTCATGTATTTTCAAAGGTCCAGAACATTCACATTTTACCATATATTTTGACTGGTAAAAATGATATGGACAAATTTGTTGACAAAATTAGCAGTTTAAAAATGGGGGTCTACCTTCCTCAAGACCAATAGAAACAGACAAGTTACTATGTAACTGGCATCAGAGGAAAACCTTCAGAAAATAAGTAAATTGTGTTCTAAAGTTTTCCATAATCTATCTCACTTTCAATGTTGAACCAGAAAAGAAGTACAAACAACAATCTATTACTTATCAAACGAAAAACATGGAATAGGTAGAAACAGCTTTTCGTGATTTTATTATCTATTATTCAGGTCGTTTGTGAAAAACAAAGGAACGGGAGGGTTTTTGATGGACTGTGTTTCCCCATCACCAAAGTTAGAGACCCTTTTCTTTTATCAAGGGTCACCCACTCCTTGGAGGAAGAATTCTAGGTACCTCCCAGGTACTTTGACTAATTTGCGAATCTATTCTTTTCTATATGGCCAGCACCCCCTAGATGCCTTGACAATAACATATTTATTCCTCTTCTCAGAAATAAAATACTGACAGAAAATTCACTTTCAACACTATCAAAAGCCTTCTTTCATCTGATAAAATCAAAAAATTCAGATATAATGCTTTCATAAATATTTTGAAGCATAAACACCCTTTGAAGACAAATTTTTGCTCAATGGACACAAGCACCACCTATTTCAGACCAGAAGAGAGACACTCAAGTATCAACATTTTCTACTCCATAGACACTAAGAAAAGGTCACGGGTCCTGAATCTTCTTCATGATAGTTATAATCCCTAATCAAGAACTCTACCCTCTTCCATAGTTAATGGATTTTCAAATTGTCATCCATTCTGCTTCACATGCACCAAAAATGAAAAACAACAGTTTGAGAACAAGCCTTGTTTTCCAAATTGAATGCTGAGAAAATTCAGCTCCTACTCCCTAATGCAATTCTTCCTAACCCTTGAAAAAAATTTTGTTACTCGAAAACATCTCTTGGATTAAGATTCTGCCTTACGTATCCTCTACAAGCAAGATAACCCTTTCTGCGTCACCTTGTGTTCCATTGCATGGAACAACACTTTCCACATTTCTGCATATGCTACCAAATCATTTCATGTAATTTTGCCAACTGATTCATGAGCTTAGACATTAGTCATCAAATAAGAAACTGAATATCAAACCCCAACAATTTTCTGATTGTATAGGTAATTTCTTAAATTAGATTCCTTTAGATTTAACATTAGATTCTCCATTGCATTATAGTTCACTAGATTCTTAATTTTGACCAATAAGATCATCTATCATAATTACATAAAATAATTATGTCTCTTGATCAGCATATTAAATAGAAATTTGTGAAGTGAGTTAACTAAGAAAATGGAACCAGGAAGATAGAAGAAATCGCAACAAGGAAGCATTGATCTCTATACCTTTTAAATCCATGACAATAAAAGGTAAACTAAGTTCAGACAACAACTTGACAACCTAATTCTAATCAATGGCCAAAAATGAAATGCAATTACTATAGCAGGAATTGAACCCCAGAAGAAACCCATAAATTCTGCAACTATATTATCATCAATGCAACAGTTTCAAGGTTACCAAAAAGTTTGGATAGATAAAATAAACAACAAAAAGACCATTTGTTTTCTTCACATGCTAACAAGACTCAGGAATTATACACATCCTACCTTTTTTTTGAGATAAAATTATACACATCCTACCTTGCTTTTGGCACGTTCCTTCTCTTTTGCTTGCTTCTTATACCTATCTCTATGAAAGTCCATGATTTTACAGACAGGTGGATTTGCATTTTTTTGGACCTATAAAAGAAGTTACAGCCTTATCAGTACATAGAAGAGTTAAAAACTACATGAAGGTAATATTTTGGAGCAAAATATAAAGAACATATTAAGCATTTTTACAGATTATCAACAAGTTTAATAGCAACGAAAGAAGTAACAAAGAAAAAGAAAAGCTCCAAATGAAAAACTAAAATAAGAAAATAGAAGATAAAAGACTAACTTATCTCCAAATAAAGGAATAAAATGATTATGTCCAGAAAATGTGTTTGCTGACTCCACCTCACATTAGTAATAATAAAATAGTGATTTTATTCCATATCGTAGTAGTAGTAATAATAGTGATGGTAATATTAACAATAACAAGAATAGTAACAATAATAATGATAATAGTATAGTAGTAATAAACTTGAATTTGGCTATCACAGCAGAACAAATATAAGTGACTAAAAGATCTCTCCATTTCTACCACCGCCGGAGAAAAAAAAATTGACCAAGACCAACGAGGCTAGCAACAAATAAAAGCAACTAATTATCTAATTATACAAGAGTTTAAGTTCCAATAATCCTCTTTCAATGTTATTATTTTATCATAAACAAGTATATAAAGATTACCTCAACTAAGTCAAGTTTAAGCTTCCTTGCAAGATCCAACGCTTCATACCTTGAGACAATTTTATGTCCTGCACATTAATAAGTAATCGTACTTATAAAAATTCATTACCCCCAACATCATCCTAAATATGCTAAAACGAACCCCCATACTCAATGACATGTAGCTAGTAGAGGTCCCAAGTTTAACTTTAACCATATTAAACCCACTACTTCACATTGACAATCAAGATATTTCCATCTGGAAGTCTTTTCAATTTTAGTTCTTCTTTCTGCATGTAATTCTAAGATGGTGTTCTAAGTTGTTGAAAGAAATGTATTGTACTAAAAAGTGCTGATTTTAGAAAAGAAGCAATTATCTTTTTTAATGAAAATACATTAATATGAAAAAAAAATGCATCTACTTTTTGGTTTAAAAAGATACATACAAGGACAAGTAGACAACTGAACATGTAACAAATAAATATGTTATGCCAATACACAAAAAAGGGAAGAAAAAATCAAGGGAGAGGTGCTTAAACTGCTTATAGGCGCCTAACAATTACTTCATGATTTTTGGTTTAAACAGTCACGCGCTCATACGCACCTATATTTTTTTTTTTTGAAATATCAAACGCACCTGATAATAGCCTGCTTATTAAATTACCAAATAGATAACATTGAAGAGGTACTTAAACTGCTTAAGGTGCCTATAGCAAAAGCCAAACTGCAAGTTATCATATGTTCAAGTCCCACACCCGCCTTTTCCTACACTAGAATGTGGCTTGGAGACTACATATTAAGCTTTAGGGGATTGTGGAGGTTTGTTCTCACATCCCTCCTTTTAAGTCCTTATTGCCTATGCTTCCCGCTGTTTTGGTCAGAAAAAGGATCAAGAAAATATTACCTACAGGGGGTTATTTTCACTAGGTAGTGAGTCTTCTGGCAGGAAAGAAATGCTAGAGTTGTCAAAAAGCTGATTTCAATTCCCTTTTGTTGTTGTGGAAAAGGTTCGTTATCTCACGCCTATTTGGCTGACTGTTATAGCTCATGCTCTTTTTAAAGGGTCTCTTTACCTGTTCAGCAATGGGATTGAGCTGCTATTTTGAACTAATTTCCTTTTACTTTATTCTTTTTTTTTTTTGTGTGTGCGGTTTTGAAGGTGCTGCAGGAGGATCACTTGTCTTCTTACTTTGTATCGTTTCCCTTTCTCTTCCTATCAAACATTGTCCAAATCAAGTTGACTCCCTTTTCATCTTTGCTCTTACCCTTCTTGTTTTGTTTTTTTTTCCCCCTTTTTTCTTCCATAAATGATACGTTGATCTATTATACCAAACGTCAAATAAATATTTCTTGCCTATTCATGTCTGTTTTTTCCTTTCTATGGTCACAGTACACATCCCTCTATGCTGAACAATTCATTTCTCATATACAAAATATCAGCTAACTTTATACCATGGGCATGTATAAACAGTAAACCAAAAACATATCAGACACAAAACAAAAATAATGTAAAATTTTAGGTGACTCAGATGACATTGTATCTATATACCTTCATCTGTCACCAGCCTAACAGTTTGGGCTTGAATATCCTTGTTTAGTCGCACATCCTTCCACCATGCCTAAAATTTAGAATGAAAAAGATCACATGAACTACCTACCAGTAGCCCAAATAAAAACCAGCATATAATATTCAAACTCCCATCAAAAGCTCGAACCTTGTTTCCACTAATTCTCCCTTACCAATAACATCCAGGAAAACAGTAACACGCAACCGGATCATTTAAAAACCCTTTCAACTATCCATCAGGCAATCAATCCATTAAAAAGAAACAGCAAAATAAAAGAAAAACGAATTACTTAACGAATTACCTGAATGCTAAAAAACCTGACATTGTCGTGGAAATCGATGGGTCTCCTTAAAAAATCCAAACTAGGGTTCTCTAGTAAATGGCTTCTTGTGTGTTTAGCACTGCAATTCGGCGAAGAAGCAAAAGGAGCTCGAATGTAGTATCTCTTGAATTGACTAGACAGTAAACAGCCGAGATTGGGCTTATTGATTCGATGCCAAAAAGCCATGTTTTCTAACTGTTCGTTGCAAAAAAAAAACAGCTTTTTTAAGGAGTAAATTAAAATTGTTCCGACATAATAGCCGAGGAAAAACCCTAATCTCGCAATCCTTTGAACTGCGCTGAGTTCAAGTTCTGACGGGAGTCCGGACAGCAGAAGCCTCGGCAGTGTCTATCTGATGACAAAACCTTGTTTTTTTTTCCTAATAAAGTAAATTGTGGAATCCAAATTCCCCGTACACAGAGGATTCCGAAAGGTAGGTAAAAACTAAACAAGCCGGCGTTCTTGCCGCGGCGAAGGGCTGAGCGCCGGTGACAGCGAGCTGGGGTGCCCGGGGAAGTGAACGCCGGTAAGACGGGCCAGAACGACGAATCGCAAACGACAGTGAGCAGTGCCGAACGAGTTAGGCAGAGTTGCAGAGACAAGCGGAGAAGTAATACCTTGACCAACACATTCTCTCATTTTTTAAAAAAATTAAAAATAAAAAGTATATGTTAATATTAATTGTAGTTATACATAATATAAAAATAAAATTTTGGACATTATGTATTTAATTTTTTTTTAAAAAATAGTGAAATAATTATAATTATAAATATAAATAAAATTTTAAATATTTTCTATTCAAATTTTAAAATGATAATATATATAATAATTATCTATAAATTTTTAAAACATAAAAATAAAATTTAATTTTTATTGACATATATTATACATGGTGGAATTTTAAATATAATAATAATGTTAAATATTTTTTTTAAAAAATTATAAATATAAAAATAGAATTCAACTTTAAAATAATTACAATTTATATATTATATAATTAATTTTTAAATTATAACTCGTATACAGTGTCCTAAGTTTACAAAAACTAATATACAAAATTTTAGTTTCCCACTATTAATTTCTATGAAATAGATTGTAAATTTTATGTAAAATTAATTTTGTTATTGTAAAATTATCAACTAAATTAAATATTTTACAAATTATTGAATTTATTCTAAACTTGATTAATCTTCTCTGACTTGGGCCTGTGGCTATGAGCCCATGGGCCGCGGCCTGTAGGGCTTCACTTTCATTTGTTATTTTTTGTATTTTTTATTTTTGGGGATTAAATTTCATTTGTAGTTTACAAGTTTTATTTGTCGCTCAACAAAGATTTGGCAAGTTGGAAAAGTAGGTTTCTCTCTAACGCATGTAGAAATATGCTTGTGGAATATGCATTGTACATATATTATTATTATTATTATTATTTAGTTATCTTAACTTTCAAGTCTGATCAATTTACATGAAAATTTTTGTAAAATATAAAAAACAGTCATAATTTTAGTTTTACGCTCTTGAATTAGAACATTTTATGTCATTATAAAAAGTTCGAAAAGGGTTAGCATTGTGGAACCTAGAGATTTTAGTTCTTATTGTTAAATTAGTTTGACAAACTCTTATTGTTTATTTTTAGAAGATTGTCTGAAAAATTAAAATCATTTCCTAAAAAAAAAGTTATAAGAGTTGATAATAATGAATTTATAAAAACATAGGAAGATTCATAAATTTATAAATTTTTTTAATTTTATTCCTTCTATAACTCTTGAATCAAAATGCATTATGGTAAATTAACTTATTCGTGAACATTGTGCAATAAAATTTATTTACATTATATAATCGTTTTGATGCTAATATCAGTCATATAATACTTAATACCTTATTATTTAATAAAAAATAACATGATTAGTGAAGTTGAGTTAATGCATCTAATGAAGGATCTTTATATGGTCAATATATAAGCAAAATGACATTATTTTGCGTATGGTTTAAGCCTCATTATTTTCTTACTAGAATCTCCTCTAGAAAGAAAAATTGCAAGAAAGAGATAAGCTTTTTATGGTGGCAAAATCTTGCTTAAAGTCTACAAAGGTTTAAATATTGTTAATCATCTTTATAGTCCATGAAAGTATGAAAATGAATCTTATGCACAATTTTTCTTAAATTGTCAATTAAGACTTCTTTACCCCTATTTTCTTGCGGGTTTTAAATTATTCTTAATGTTTAACATGCGAATAATTTCTATCTTATATTTAATGAAAAGAAAACGACATATTATAAAAAAAATTATTTTATATTTAACAGTAAGAAAATGTTTTTTTTTTGTGTGATCATATTCTATTATAAACATTAAGAATTATTAACTTAATATGATTTTAAATCAGTCAGATCCAACACAGGAAATTGACTTCATCATATGAGTAATTATTAGAACTTTTTGCTACCCTTTGAGCAGATTTTCACGAAGTTGAGTTTAATTATTAGGTCAAAAAAAAAAAAAAAAAAAAGTTAAGTTGTACAAATATTACGGTCTTCACTTGTGATGCAACTTCATGAGATAATGTCTTTTGCTTCTATATGAGATATTGACGGAATAGAAAAAGTATATATTTAATCATTTGCTAAACATTGAAAGTAAGCAATTTTATATTATCTCAAGCTTGCTACTATATTAAATTTCAAAGATGTTATTATTTGCAAAAATAACCCACAAATTTTATTTCAAACTGAGATATTATGATCCAATGAGCTCACTTGAATGGGCTTTGCGTTCTGAGTCGACTCAATGTCTACTTCTGTTTTTGATGAGTTAAATTGGTCTTCTCTATATATACATACAAGAACTTGTTGGTCTATTCTATATCATATGTAGCAACTTGGCAAATTTTGTTATATACATATAATAATTAATTATTGATGCTGCTTTCTGATTCTTGTTTATTTTAAATGAATTTCTTCACATTTTTCTGGGTAGTTTTATCTTTTACCAACTTTTTTATTATAGAATTTAAGGTCAAGCAAGCATTAAACATATCTAATATAATTAATCAGTTTAATTGAGTAAGATATTTTATATAATCCATTGCTCATTTTCTATATATATATATATATATATATACATATATATGAAGTTTTTAACTGTCCAGTTAGTTATATTCCAGATAACCCTATAAATATATATATAGAATATACGAAGATGGCATAGTCCATTCAAAGGGTTGTTCATTCCATTAGTATCAATAATGACAAGATGAAAAGGATAAAAATGAGTTATAAAGTTGGGAGAAATTATTTTTTTGTTGGAGATAGTGATATATTATTAGCAAACCTCCAATTAATACAGCATTTTTTTTTTTTAAATCTTATTATTCTTCATACGTGTTGTATAAATTATTATAATTCTTTCTTTCCCAATTATTTACCCAAAATATAAGCTCGCGAGGATGTGGAATTAACATTTGCTTAATGTTGATTATAATGTTATCTTCAATAATTTATTTACCTACGTACATATACGTATGA